CAGAGCAGGGAAGATGGCCGTGGGTCATGTTCGTCACCCAATGTGGAGTTTGCGAACAGAAGCAAAATTTTGCAAACGCTGCTGTTCGCGAACCGAATTGTTCGTGAACAGAAGCGTTCGTGAACGGAGGTATTATTGTAGTTATTATTATTAATAATTATTATTTTAAAAGAACCATTGTGAATATTGTGTAAATCCGAAGCAAATCCTCTTAAGCATTTACTAAACTTTTTAGTGTGATATGAAGGCAATGAGGCAAACCTTAGGCTAATCCACCCCACTTTTGACTTTTCCCTCTCTGAAGCTCTCATTTCAAGTTCTAATTAACTACTGGTTAATGTGTAATCAAAACCCTAAACTCAGGATCTAGTGAACAATGGTTTGTTGGAACAAGGTAGCTTCATAATCTATTATGAATTTGGCTTGTTTCAAACCATCATTAATATTGGTTGGACTGACAAACTAAAGCTAACACGAGAAGATTGAATTCATCAAGAGATGGTCACATAAGTCTATCTTCAACATAACTGCAATGTAATGAAGAGTTGAAACATATGTAGAGAATTTCTTAAAGACTTTCCCACACGTTCCTGAAAGCAATCCCAGTTGTCCCTTTCTGTACAGTCCTTCTGTAGTCCGATTAGCGCTACCACTCAATTGATCCAACAATAGCCCAAATAAATTCTATGGTTGTAGTCTGAGCAACAATAGCTTCTGTAACACAAATGATGTCCATCTGCTTTGTATCTGTATTTGCCTTACTGGCTTTGTGTGACTTCAGACTGAGTTAGCAAATGTAGAAATGCATGTAATCTAGTTTATGTGTAATCTGATTAGAATAGCTCTAATTTAACGTAAAAGCACTTCATTAGAAGGAATAAAAGATACTGTTACCGAAAGGATGCTACAAAGATCCTCTTTCGCACCTCCTTGAAAGCTTATAACTAGCTGAGTAATATTTAGCAGTGAAAGTTTGTAGTGAGGATCTACTTTTAACTGAAGGTGCTTAACATTGCAATACAAATAGAACTGGATAATTTACTGTTAGTTTCTGGAACTGTCTTCTCTTGTAGGAGATCATAATTGAAACCTGGAAACTGCAACTGAGCTAGTAGATTTATACAGTGGCAGCTATTACACACTGCAGCAATGTCAACCTAACGGCAAGTGAAGAATGAGGCCCTCATGCAAATATTACAATTATGCACTTGCTGATGTCCATAGTTTTATACTTGTCCCTATACCAAGAATCATTTTAACATGTAGTATTCAATGCTAACATGCATTGAGTTGCACAATAACACACTCATGCTCTGTTCTAGTTAAAATGCATAAGGAATTGACAACTAATGTAAAATTCCTTGAAGTCAAATGGCACATACAATCTCAAACTATCTTCTGGTATGCCCTGTGTTTGGACTTTAGTTTTGTAATTGCTGCAGGCAAAGTGAAGAAGTGAATGGCTATGAATTATAGAATTTTAGTGAAAAAAAGTATGGGGTATATTTTAAGTCATTCTGTTCCTCACTTAGTGCTGGTACACTAGGACTGCTTAGGTCTGGTGAGACGTGCTGCTTCCTTGCAAACATTTAATGCAACTAGGCTGAAACATTGAAACATTCTTCCCTATTGAATTACACATGGAATGGCTGTTTGCCAAGGTAGAATATAATTTGGGAGTGGCAGAGATCATGAAGAGTGATACTTTGAGGTAGTAGGTTGAACTGGACATCTTACTATAAACCAAGGCTGTAGTTATTGTTTCTAACTTGATGAGCCATGCTTAGGGTTATGATGAGGGCCAGGGGTACAGTTAGGGTTTTCTGTGCTGAGAAGCGGTATAACTTGACTGATTTGAACTGAGTGTTGATACGATAGCCATAAAAATGAAGCCTTTTGACTATTGTATGCTTCGAAAGGAAACTCAAATCACAGCCAAAGCAAATTCAGTCCGGTGCCTAAAAGAGAAGTTGGAATGCAATTTTCCAAGTTCCTAGGCAGTGTGGGCAAAAATGGATATTCTAGGGATTACAGTTCCAGACTTCAGGGGGTGAATCTAAATTGAGCAATCTGGGATTTCACAAGTATATTTTTCCTCTATGAATATTGTATCTAGTGATCACACATACTTGGTTATGCTTTTTCCTTAGGAAGCTGACACAGATGAGAACCAGGGAACTTTAAACTTTGAAGAGTTTTCTGTGTTTTACAAGATGATGTCATTACGGCGTGACCTGTACTTGCTGCTTTTGAGCTATAGTGATAAGAAAGACCATCTCACTGTTGAAGATTTTGCTCAGTTTTTGAAGGTAGAACAGAAGGTAAGAAGGAAAACAAAAATGATTAACACACTAATCCATTACAAAATGTCCCCATTTTCTTTTTACATCCAAGTACCCTGTTGCTTTTATCTTGAAAACATTTATCAAAAATAATTATCTAATATTTGGTTCCTTGAAAATATTGATATCTATATTTATGAACAGTGAGAGCAGAAAATGTTTATGAGTCAGAGCTGTGTATGTCTTATTTCATTTATTTTGGGCACTATTTTATTTTCCCCATTTTCTATAGACACTTATGTCAGTATCATATCAACACACATTTCCAAAATGGAAAGATCTTGTTTGAGACTGGGAGTATAAACAATTCAATTACTTCTTATTTCCAGAGAACTTTTACTTGCTGGAACTCATCATCTACCCATTCAGGCATATATGTTGGCAAATCCCTTCTGTTTGTCTGTCTCTGTTTGATGTGTTGATTGCCTCATACTTTGATGTGTTGCCCAGAATGAGAGAATGCCTTAGTTCCTAATGTTTTATAGCAGAAGCAATCTAGGTTTGATTCCCAGTGGTCCTTTGCCTACCAAGAACAGGAAGTTTCTGCTTCTATTGAGCTAGGGGTGTAGCTCAAGCTGTTTATAATATATCCTCAAACTGTCTATAACTCATGAAAATCAGAATATGATTTACAAAGCAACTACTGCTTCAGGCCCCCTAATGCCATATATTCATTGTACTATATTCATCTGTCTGATAACTTCACTTGGAGACCTTGCTCTGAATCCTCTATCATCTGCAGTTAGGGTGGGTGTTGACTAGAATGACAGTTCTTGGGCACAGTATAGGAATACTCTGCCAGAAACACACACCTTGTCTCAGTGCTTTTTGTCACTAGGGGAAGCCTTTTTAATTTATCTGAGCATTTAAAATGTTTTTATAGCTGCTTTGTTGTGTATTTATGGCTTCCACTGAGTTTGACAGATTGATCAGCTTTGGCTGTCACTTCTATGATATCTATTAAGGTAGTGTAGGTAGTGTTTTAATGTATTCCTTTTTAATTGAAGCCTCCTTTGCTTTATATATTTACTAAATAAGTAAATGAAGTTTATTTTCCTATTATGTTAGCAGCTGGGATCACCATACGATCTGAGAAGATAATCTGTACTAGATTCATAATATGGATTTAGAGGAAACCACATGCATTTGAATTTTTCTTTCTTCTTTTTTGCATTTGCATCATATCATTAGTTTCATGTTCATAGTGTAGAGGGGGAAAAAAACTTTAAAATATTATAAATTTTGAAGGAGTCCAATAAGACAGATTATAGGCTTTGGGCATAACTCAAGGCCGAAGCCAATATTGACACCTGTTATAAATAATTGGTATTTTGTTTCATTGGTGTGTCAGCTTTGGCTGGTCACCTGTTATTCATTACCAGTTCATTTGTCAGCTGCAATATGCCTAGCTTCTCTATCCCTGTCACTATTCATAGGGCTTATCGAGTATATTCGTGCAAGACAGTTATATTGTGTCCATTACTTCACCCTGGATCAATGACTTTGAGAAACACCTGCTGTCCATTCAAAAGATTGCAAACATGCTCAGCATTATGATTTCCATTCAGGAGACAAGTTGAGCTTTGAAGTTCAAATGCGTAATAAAAATATATATGAGACACATGGAAGGGCAATGAACTTAAGCTCTTCAGTAATAGAAAGTCAGTGGTACACACTGACCCACACAAGTTAGTCCTATAAGGTTGCTGTATAAGGCCAGTGTAGATGAACTTCAGGTTTGAACGATGTGCTTAATTTTTTTTGTCTCTGTTCTAGACTCTACCTGCTGTTCCCAGTCATACTTTGGCAGCTTAGAATCACAAGCAACTATCTGTTCATTTTGCAGTATGCCTTTTTTTTGCACGTGCTTACAAGTCATTTGTTGGTGAACAACACTACCCACCCATTATCATATCAGTGCAGATCAAGCTAACATAATCTATACTGTGCCTGTGTCACAAGACATGAACTTAATGTACACGGAGTACAGATGTATTGGATGAAAGCGAATTCCACTGTTGATATTAGATTGAGGCTGGAAATAAATTCTGTGTTTTGTGCTGAAGATAGACTCCTAAAAGACACTGTATTCTGGAATCTAGAGTCCATCATTCTTATTTTGCTCTGTAATAAGTTGGCATCATTTCTAGGATTTCAGACAAACTAGGAAGGTTAAATATAGTTCATTATTCATGAAATGATAGAGGGGAAGGAGGAAAAAGTTGTTACCTCTAGTGCCCCAGGAAATCACCATTCCTTAAACAAGCTTCTCAGATTGGCTTGGGAAATGAATGAACTTAGACTAGAAAACTCCTTACAGAGAACAAAGATGCATGTTTTGAGTACATTACCGTTTCAGTAGAGGCAAATATTACAGTTTCTAGCCCAACAACAAGCCCATCGATCACGCTGATTTCATGAAGAATGGAGAAATAATAAGAGTTATTGAATCTGTGGAGTTCTTCACAAGTGTTTGCTAGGAATAACATTACAGTTCAACAGAAGCCTTTCACTTAAGCTGAAATAATCTGTTTTCACTGGTGACGAGTCCTATTTCTATCATTTTCAATGATGCCAAAAGATGTTTTCACTTTACTCAAAGTTATTTTTAAAAACATAGTAAACTGCAAATTGAAACTGAGTTTCCTGTTCTGTACTCTTCATTGAATTTATGAATGATAGAAATGATACTTCAGTGAATGATTATAGAATTCATTAACACAAAGTTTTAAATCAGGAAGCAGAGAAACACAGTCATTTTCTTTTCCCATATTGCTAAATTCACTCCCAGAATTTGTCAAGTAGAATGTGATTTTTCTTTCATCTTCAACATTCCACTTCAGTAATACCACTTTTTTTTGGCACATAAACTGACCTGTAGCAATCTCACTTTGGGTCTTCTGAGAATTACTAAAGAATAATAAATTTGAGGCATATTTTGCACAGTTATTGTTGATTTTGCACAATGCATAGGGCATCCATGTTTGTTTGTTTGTTTGTTTAACTCAATGTTTTTCAACTCATTTGGGAAAACCTAAGGAAAACTTGTAATACCTATGGGAAAAGGGAGACATTTAGGAACTGACCTGTTAGATGAGAAGAACTTTTATTTGTTGCTTTTTTTCTTGGTCTCTTGTTCAGTCAGTCACTAGTCTGATTGCCTTACCATTTTACTATCTGGTCTGATGGTGCTGAAACTAAATGCTAGATAAGTTCATAATAAAATCTCATCCATGACTTAATTGTAGATGAGGACTGAGGAAACTGAAATCTTGGATGGGGAATTGGAGGGAATTAGATTCTCCTTGCTATTTCCTCCTAGTGGTGTTTTTTTTTTTTTTTTTGGCTCATTTTTTTATTGTATTTTATTGCAATTCTGAATTTTAATTTTGATTTGTTTTATTTTGTATACTGCCCAAGGAGCCACTGCTATAAGGTGGCTTATAAACTGAATGAATTAATAGATAATTCTGAGAGTTGGCATGCCTGCTGGGCTTAAATAATATTCTTTGTGAAGTTTCCCAGTTTAGTCATTTCATAACTTCATAACTTCTGTCTCTACATGAATAATGATAAACCTTCCAGAAATCCTGAGTGTTTTGCATTTTTGGCATGAATAAGACTCCTGATAAACAGTTTTATTTTATTCTTGGAGGTCTCACACTTTGCTCGTTCATCTAAGAGAATTCAGTTTAGCATTAATACCTATGTAGTGCAAACATTATTTCACAGTGATTGCATTATGAGTGTGTAATTTGTAATGTACTGGAAAGGAGTAATTGATATTAATCTCATGAGTTGAGACAAGAAGTGATAAGCACAGAGTCACTAAGCTGGGACAATTGTGTCTAGATAAATGGCTCTAATGTCAACTATGATCTAGCCAAAGTGAGTAAATCTGGGTTTCCCTAATTTCCACAGGAGAATGTTAAATTTACACTTGACTTTCCATCGCTGTCAGTAGAATTAATTGAATAATTTTTCGTAAACACTCTGATATGTAAAATTAACCTTCTTTATTTGAATATTCACTTGTTTATCAAAGAATGCAATGAATAATTGCATTATTAAACCAATCTTTATATTTGCATAGTGTGGATATAAGATCACTTTGGTCAATGAAGTTAATTGTATGATTTCATAACTTAGTAGTAAATCCCAAGTTACCCTTCCACTATTGGTCTCAGTACAGTGCATATACTAAATGGCCCATTTCAAAGAGCATTTTTATTCTCTATTGAAAAGTACAACCATTCACTGCACATTCTGATAGCTGTGAAGTGTAACGTATTGCAGTTAAGCCATGGTCAGATATGTTAAAAGTTGAATCCTAAAATGTTGAAGGGGAGGGGTCAGGAGGAGGATGATCTACGAAGCGTTAAAGGAAGATGGAAGGTTGGAGATAAGTACTTTGTTGTTGTTTTCATAGATTTCAGTGAAAAGGTGTCCATGAAAAACTGATTGTGTCTATACTGTCTGACAGAGCTACATAGTTCTTCCCCTTGCTATTATATATTATATATACATGTGGAAACTGTTGCAGAGCTACAATTCTTTGTGCATTTTTCTTTTTTGCTTGTAGATTTTTCTCTACCATAAATCCTGTGGAAAGAAGTATGATTTGGACCAGAGAGATGTGTAGTTTAGCTGTGATCACTATTTATCTGTAATGTTTAAAAGATAGATGTGATGCTTACAAAAACAAACCAAAACAAGTTTTAACATATACAATCTTCAACTCACTAAAAGGTCATTGAAAAAATGCTGACAGTTGTAGTCACAGTTGACTGCACACCAAATATGACCATGGGCTTTTAAACAAGAGGTTGGATCTGAACTAAACTTTGACATATTGGTCACATTCTCTAAGAAGAAAAATGTATCAATTTTGTCTTTGGCGCAGATGAATAATGTGACAACAGAGTATTGCTTAGACATCATAAGAAAATTCGAGGTTTCAGAAGAAAACAAGAATCAGAATGTTTTGGGCATAGAAGGTAATACATTTTAGCATTTCAGTTTCTTTAGATGCCATTTTACATTGCTGTTATGGAACAGATATTTTAGCATTTTCTTAATCATGGTTTAATACAGCCTTCTGCAATACTGACATTCTCTGGATCAGTTGGATTTCAGCTCCCATCATGCTGAGCAAGCTTGTCCATGACAGCTGGTGATTGCAGAGATCGTAGTCCCAAAACGTATGAAGGGTGCTGCCTTGGGAAAGTTTACTTTAGTATGTCAATATGTAAATGTGAGGACAGTCAATTAGCATTTTAATTAATGGTGGAAAACATAAATGAGAATATTAATAATGCAGAGTGTTATGCTGTTATGAGAAAGAGTTTGTTTCTCCATTGAAATTCATTTCTAGTCTTATTCTGTAGAACGATATTTTAGATTTAATTAGAAACAAGGAGAGAAAACAATGTTGAATGCTAGTTGAAGTAGTATTTAAGAAGAACAAAAAGGGTTATAATTAATTTTCTCCGTTTCAAGACTAACATAAAAAAAAAAAAAGATTGAACAGTGCCACTGTCTGTCAGATGGTGAGAATAGGCTTTAATTTATATAGTATCAATTCTCTTAGCTCATTATCTATAGCCTTGCAAAAGTCACTTTCTGTCAACTTCCACTTCCTAGCTGTTAAATGGGAATTATGGCATCCAAGTGCTATAAAGGTTATTTTAGTCTGGAAGCTGCAAAGCAGTCTACAAATTACAGATGCTACTCTATATAATTTCACCTTGTTTAAATAAATGGCAAATAACAGTAGTGATAGTTGTTATATTATTTGATGAATGGGCTCAGGAATTATACAGGAAATATGGCCATTATGAATCTAGAAATGGAAAAGTAGCTCAAGTATAGCTCAAAATTGTTTAAAGCAGCATTAGGAAGCAGTGAAACAAGTGTTTAAACTCCTAGATAAAAGATGAAAACTAATTTTAAGGAGGGTGGTTGAGTAAGTTGTCATAATAAGGATGATTAACTATTTCTGTGGAATGAATGGATGGATGGATGGATAGATGGATGGATGAATGAATAGAACTAGACAGCATGGGCCATCTTGTCTGATTCTGCACATCAAAATTGACAAAGCAAAGCTCTCCAGGGTCTCTGTGAGGCTTTCTTTTTTTCTTTTTGTCACAGATATCCTTTCTGGTAGCTTGGAGAGAACAGACAGTCTGAAAACAAGGTTAATAAACAAGCTTAAGCATTCTGGGACCTCCATTGCCTTACCAAACTTTTCTTTTATTGCTTTGCTTGAATCTGTCTTCTTGTACCCTTCTTGCTTTTCATTAAAAAAAAAGTTAAGATTCCATTTGGTTAGAATCATTTCTATATACCCTTTTTGGTTTGAACTGGGAAACCTTTTTTTAACCTGCCCAGACTTCGTTGTTGTTTTTTTAAAGTCAGTTTTGTATGCCATCTGGGTGACAATACTGTGTTCATGACGAGCCAGGTTATATTCCTGTGTTAAGGGACAAGGAAATTTGAAGAAAGAAATGTATTTATATCTGTTGGTTTGAAATGTCTAATTAAAATTTATTTCTTCCAAGAGCTTCACTACTCCTTGCAGTTGAAGGGGGAATTCCATTATGTGACTTTGTGCATGGAGCGCTATTCCACTTTGCTGAAACAAATAGGATGTGAATGGGAATAGAACAGAAGTGAGCAGTATTCAGATCTGAAGTGGACTCCCTTTCTATATCTCCTGAAAGGAACTGTGCCTTTTCTTGAGCTTGCCTGGAAGCCATGAGGGCTCCGGAAAAGATGGATTTGATTACAGGAGATGTTACCATGTTGGTGCTGGTGCAGCTGTGTAACACTACCCTGTCACCACCTCAATGGCTGCTTAATTCAAATGTGTTATGTTTCTGAGCCTGCACAGCTACTATGTGAGCCCAGAAAAAGGCATATCTCCTTTAAAGAATCACCAGCAGGTCCGGAGAGCATGCCCACTCGGGACCCAAAGCATTTTCGCCTGCTTTGGATCTAAATATTTCCTGCTTTTAGGATGGAGCAACCAACATGCGTATCAAAAGAATGGTCAGAATGTGTGACTCTTGGAACAATTCTGCTGGGTTTTCTGAATCCTTGAAAAGCTTTTGCCTTGAAAGATTCAGGTCTGAACAGACCACAGACCAGAGAAGGAAAGTATTTCAGCGGCGAATGTGCTTTGGTCTCAGATCAGTTGCTCAAACTGAGTTCAGCTTTGGATGAATTTGGATGCCTAGCTAAAATCTCAGTTTCTGCTTAGTGATGGAATGGAAGGGATTAGTGACCTATGATTATTCATAAAGATGTATGAAGCATTAGAACAGGTGATGTGTTGTCCCGATAGCAACCATTTTGGGAATGCTAGAAAGACAGGGAAAAACATGAGTATCTGACTGATGAAGCTTGAATACAGTTTCTATTTTATATGATTACTTCTTCATGAAAGGCCTACATTTGTGTGCTTAATATCCAACTTTACCATATTTTGCTATTTTCTCTCATGTATACAGGCTTTACCAATTTTATGTGCAGTCCAGCCTGTGATGTGTTCAATCCACTGCACAGTGAGGTATACCAGGATATGGATCAACCTCTTTGCAACTATTTTATTGCTTCTTCCCACAACACATATCTCACTGGAGACCAGCTTCTGTCTCAGTCTAAAGTAGAGATGTATGCCCGAGTCCTACAAGATGGCTGCCGATGTCTGGAAGGTGTATTTTTTACTTAATTTGATGGTACATTGCTGTGGAGTTTCCACTGCTACACTGAATATGTAAAAGTAAATGCCTCCAGTCAGGAATTCTATATGTGTGCGCACAAGTCCGCTCACTCTGTCCTATGCCTGCTCTTATAGCATACAAAACATTTAATACAGTATGTCAGGGAGCATAGCCAAATACTAGTAATTCATATTTTTGTATAAATAAATATTTGAAAACGATATTTATTTCATCAGAGTCTAAGGTGACTCTGAAGGCAACAACATTCCTGTCTTTTTCAAAACAGCTCATATTGAAGCTGCTGAAACAGAATACTGTATTTACCCAAATTTACTGAATTAAAGCCATACTCCTAGATGGTCAGATTCCCAAAAAAAAAAAAAAAAAAATCAAGAGCAGAACAGACTGACTCCATCTGTCATTTTATATCTCATACACCTGTGATGCTACAATTATTTGGGAAGCATGTGATTGCATTTCTGAAAACTGGATTTGAAAAAAAACAAAGTCATAGACCTGAATTCACTTACGTAACACATCTGGAAATATCAGTGCTAAAATTGATTTTGGCCTCTAGTCATAAGGACATCATAAGTGTTACGCTTTAGTCTATTGTAAGTAATTATGTCTACTATTGAGGAGTAACTGAGTTCTGAGAGCCAGTTTAGGCCTGAAGGAAGGTCTTACTTAAATGCATTTGGGAAGTAGTTGATGATTATTAAGACCATCTTTATTGATGGACCTTTTCCCTGCCTTAAAATATACTGCTTTAAAGTATTTAAATATGGTTGAGAATTGCTTGAGTTAGCTCATCATATGTTCCAGGGAGGCAGTGTGATTCAGCAACTATTGACCAAGATATCTCCCAGCTGCTGTGCAAATGATGAAATATACATCACAAAAATTAATTTTTTAATACACACAGCTCTAAGTAAAAGATTGGTTAGTATTCTTGCTTGTACTTCCGATACAGTTTTCTTTCCAGCAAAACTGTTGCCATTATTGTGTGATGATAATAATAGCTTGTCAGCTTTAATCATTTGCCAGCATGAGCTTTATAGATTGTGAAAGATGAGACTTGATGCATGTAATAAGAGAATGTCCACTTGTTGAACAGCATTTTCAAATGCCAAATATATGCTTTGGACATTGATCTCCTCTCAGCTTGCTTACTAGAAATGGGGGGAAATCAGCAAAATATTTAATATATAATGTCTTTGTCTTGATAGTTGATTGCTGGGATGGTCCGGATGGAGAACCAGTTGTGCATCATGGTTACACCCTTACTTCCAAAATATTTTTTAAAGATGTAGTAGATGTAATAAACAAAAATGCCTTTGCTAAGAATGAGTAAGTACAGTACATTCTGTAAGTAAACAATACCTTCTGGTTTATGTGGTTTGTGCAGTCTTGTAATCAACTAAAAGAGAGTTGTGCAAATCTCTTTTCATTACTGTATTTGTAGATAATATTTTAAAATACGTAAATGTTTAATTGCTAACACATTTTTTTCAAAACTACCACAAATTTTATTTCACAATCATATTTCTTTTCATTTTAATAACATAAGTATCCAGCCTACTGTGTTGTAAGGCTTGTAAAGCAATCCTGTGTATATTTGCAGGAAATGTCTTTGTATTCAAAGGGATATATTCTACTATAATAAATGTCTTGAAGATTGCCTCTGTAGGGTAGCATTTCTCAAACTTAGGGTCTCTTAATGTTTTGATTGGAGTTCCCAGAATTCTAGATAAAAGGGCAGAGTATGTGGATTATTGGGGGGGGGGTTCCTCCAGCATCTCGTAACTATTCTCTGCCATAGATTTCTTTCAAGCTGAAAGTAAAGAACCATCAAGTTTATCTTGGCTCCTGCTGACTGTGTGAACACAACCATGCCATTTTCTTGATAACCTTATAGAAGTGGCTTGCCATGCTTTCTTCCAAGAAGTTTTTCAGCTTTCTAATCTAGTCTATAGCTCTGATATTCCTGGATGGTCTCTCATCCAGATACTAAACAGGCATGATCCTGCTTAGATTTCAAGTTCAAACATTATCAACCACCTGCTGAAACAGTTCTGCTATTTAAGGCATTTTTTGACTATACTACCCTCAGTGTCACTTCAACAATAATAGAAAAGAAGGTAGATGGGAAAGAATATGGAGCTATGTACTATCTCCTCTCTTCCTACATTATCCATGATTATCAAAACATGATTTTATACAAACATAAAATGGTTGAAGCCAAACCTTTACTCAATGCAAGAATCCAAATTCAAGTATCTCAGACAGATTATGGTCTAGCCATTATCAAGCCTATTCAGTCAAAGGGAACTAACTAGCTGTGATGGTAATTGGTTGCACTCTTGCAGTTAGAGGGTTTTTTTTTTAATCAAATTGGAATCTGCATTAGTGAAATCTATTATTCCTTGTTCTGCACTACAGAATGCAAAAAGAAGAAATCTTGACCTTCTGTGGAACATTCTTTTAGAAATTTGACAACTCTGTAGTTCCCTGGATCCTCCACATCTCCCTTTTTGAAGATGGGAATTTGTCTTCCTCTAGTCCTCTGGCACCATCAGTTCTCCAGGATTTCTCAGGGATAATACATAAAAGTTTTGCCAGGCCATTAGTAAAATTCCTTCAGTATCTTAGGATGCAACTAATCTGCCCCCTGAAATTTAAATTAATTCTAAATGAATATTATTTATTTATTTAATTAAACCAATTTATACAGTATAGCTGCCCATTTTACCACAGGTGACTCTGGGCGGTGTACAACATTATTTGACCATATGTCAGTTATTCTCAACTTTTAACCCTTCTCCTTCGTCCTGCTCCTCATAATCATTTGTTGCAACATATACCTTCTTGTTGAAGGAGACTGAGCCAAAATAGGAGTTGAATAATTCTGTCTTTTCTTTTTTACCCATTAGTATTTTTCTGTCTTCACTGAGCAACTGGTAGATTGATTGTTTTCTTTGGGAATTCCCAGGAGATGAACCTAGTCATAAAAAATTGAAAAAACAGTATTGCACTGCAATGGTTTTGATATTTTCAAAACAAATACGTGTGATTTTCCCCTCCATTTTTAGGTTTCCAATTATACTGTCTATTGAAAATCACTGTAGTATTCAACAGCAAAAGAAAATTGCTCAGTACCTCAAGGAGATTTTCCGTGACAAGCTAGATTTGACCTCTGTGAACACTGGCGATCCCAAGCAGCTTCCAAGTCCTCAGAGTCTGAAAGGCAAAATCCTAGTCAAGGTAAATGATAATAAAAAGTGGCCTGCTGGAAAGCTGTTATTTTTGTCTTATGTTCTAGTCTTTTTTTTTTTTCAGATTCCATCTACAGATGAGGTTTCTCCTCCATAATTATGTTGAGTATGTAGGGGTGTGTGTGTGTGTGTGTTTATGTAATTATAATAGCAAAATAACTGAATGTTAGAATGGAAGGGATCATGGGAATCTTTTGTTAACCTGAAGACCAAACTAGTCTCTGTGGAGTCTCAAGGGCCACATTCCAAAAGTGGGCAATGCCATGGTCTACTTTGGAGGGACTTTTAAGGAGCAAAATGGTTGCCCTAAGCATATGCAAGTCCCCTAGTTATTCATTTAGAAGGCTCCTAAATCTCCAGTTCCCAAAATACAAAAGAAAGAAACGATTGATATTTTTTAATCTATTCTCTATTGGGAGAGCTCTGAGGGGGCCACAGAAATGATGCTGAAGGGCTATGTGTGGCCCCAGGCTGTACTTTTTACATCCATGATCAACTTCAACATTCTTTTTATACTGTGTGTAGGAAAGAGGTATCCATATTCTGCTGAATATTTCCACTGAAGGAGAGACCATCACCACATAAAGCAGTATGTCTCCTTGCTGAAGAAGTTGTATGACAAAAAATTTCCCTAAAATTTAGTAACAAACTACTTCCATACAATTTCCTATTTCTATTCTATTTCTGCCCTTCAAAACAGGTCTCTACTTTCTTTTATGTAGACAGAAGATTTAAGTGGATAGAAGACTTTCATATATTTGGAGCTAGCTGTTAATACTTGATTACTTCATTCTTAACACTTCATTAAGTTCTGTCATCTCCAAAACAATACCTTTATTTAGGTAAAGTCAAATTGCCAGTGCATCATATCCCCAGCATGAATGTTTTGGCAACATTAATTTCAGCGTTGACTCAAAGCAAGAGAAAATTCTCCTCCTCCTCCTCCTCCTCCTCCTCCTCCTCTCCAGAGTTTGGGATGCACAGAATGTATTGGTTATTATTTCCACCTGAATATATCTAAGTCATATACAATATGAAATCATGATTGACAATGATGGTTGTCAGTGCGCATACACACTGTAAAGAACCTGTAAACACTTCTCCACTTCATTAGGTCACCGGTAGTTTCTTGTTTGGCTCTTAGATTAGCCAGTATCAATAACCTCTGTAGTGGCCTTCTCCAACCCTGCAGATGTGTAGGTTTCAACTCCCAGAATTTTCAACAATGGACAAACTCCTTTTAAAATTCTGGGCAAAAACCATCATTCCTTTTTCAGGGTACCCAAACTGGGGAAAACTGCTCTGATAGAAGGCAGAATCAGCAAACTGTGTCAACCTTTTTGTGGAACAGAGTTTGTGGAAGCTACTGCATATCTGCATTGAATTCTGTCTCTCAGGGGTGTGCCATCTCTATCTGGTGACTTCTTACACTAGAGATCTTTCCCCATCCTGCTGCCCTTTGATACATCTAAAGAAGAGGCTTCATTAGAATGAAATGGAGTACCATAGACTCAACTGAATCTCAAGCCAGATCTGTGCTTCCTGAATGTGACTTTCACTTGACTAGGTGCCTTTTCATTTCATGCAATTCTACTTAGTTCAAGTGTTGTTGCAGTTGTGATAAAAACATTACAAAAAATGAGAGGACAGCTATTTTTATTGGAGTTTGGAACTAATCAAAATTGGGCGAGTCAGGCCAGCACACCTTGTAACAAGCACGTTTAATTTCCTGATGATCAATCTCAGTCGGACTTTTTATTAATAAAATGCTCTTCCAAATATCAGTTAATCTGCTCCTGCAAGTAAGACCCTGCCACCCTAAATAACAGCACTGAGTTTGCAAGTGACATCTACCAGCTGCTTTTTAAAGTATCCATAACTGTTTCTCTGAGAGAAAAGGATACTTAAGCCCATCGTCGGGCAATTATGAAGACAAAAGTTTGATACGCAAAGAATGAAATAACTAAGAGTTCTGCTACATAATTTTCAAGTAGCCATTTATTTGTCTGAAACCATCCTGTGATGCAAATTACATTATGCATATGAAGATGCATAGGGCAATTCATTGTTTTTCCCTCGCTGTTTTGTTTTATGTGATTGATTGATTTGTGACATTTTTGTGTAGTGTAATCCTTGTTAGACTTTCTAATTAGGGTTCTTGGGGTAGCATATAAAAAGAACAATAAAAATACAGTGCAACATGAGAAAACATAGCTGAGATCGTAGCTGGATGGGGCCAGTTAGGCTATCAAATTCAACTCCCTGCTCAATATAGGCATTGAGAATAAAGTATTCCCAGTGAGTATAATTTGAACTCACACCATACAGATACGGCTTAAAACTTTTAGTATTCCAGCATGTCACAAAGCTCTCACAGTGACTGCTCCTGGATAAATTGGAGTCTGAGGAGCCATTTGAAAATCTGGGAAAATAATAACCTTTTCTTCTCGCCTTGAAAAGATTATAAACTAGGTGAGTGTTTCTAGGAGGCCATTCCACAAATGGTAGCCATCGGTGAAAATGCTACTCTTTCTATAATCACCTGACCAATCTCTCTCTGAAGAAGTACTCAGAAAATGACTTTTCATAGTAATCTGAAGATCCAGATAAATATCTATAGGGGCCTTTGAGGCCATGTTACAATGTTAATCACTTGTCCCAGGAACGGATTGAAATTGTTGATAATTAGCCATTCAGTTCCAATAAACAGCTTTGGGGCTTTCTTTTGATGTAGAATTTTCTGCTGATTATATAATTCTTCTGCTCTGTGTTTGAACTGTCTCAGTAGGTGGCAGTATCTGGCCTACCTTATCTAGCCTTGGCTGTTAAGCAGGGTCTTGGATAGGGGATCAGTTCCACTGTTGCAGGAAAGTTGAACCATGCCAGCAGAAGGCATCGGCAGAAAACTGCACGGTTGGATTCATGTAATCACCAGGAACTGAGCACAAGGGAACCTTTGCCTTTTATATCTAAATTGGGTAGAATTGGATTGTTCACATTCAGGCAAAGGTTCTGGAGAAGCTGCTTATTACTCACCCTGAGATGTTACTTGCTTTGTGCTTCCTATACCAATTTTGAATGAAGGAGGCCAAAGCTCATATCTGTGAGACCTGGTTTCTGAAAGGATACTGTGTGACTAATGTACCATTTGGCGCCATTTGGATGGAAAGGCAGAATACACTTATTGCGAGCAGTAAGCCAAGTAGACACTGATTGGAGCACACATCTCTAATGGGTAATGATCCTGCTCATTCGTGCTGTTAAAAGGGAATCATTTTCATCCGATTTTTAATTCAGACAAGCATGTCCCTTCAGTTTCTAATCCTGATAAATATATTTCCTGGATCATATGTTTGGGAAGTTCTGAATTAGAAATTTTGAATGAAGGAGGCCAAGCTCATATCTGTGAGACCTGGTTTCTGAAAGGATACTGTGTGACTAATGTACCATTTGGCGCCATTTGGATGGAAGGGCAGAATACACTTTTTGCTAATAATGATTTCTTAGGTCACCTTTAAATCTCATAGTAAAATATGGTGCCAATCAGCAGTCCATTACAGGGAGCTGCATGGTCTGTGCACCTTCCTGATGGACCTCTTTTTTCCTTACCTGTATGGGCTGTCAGCAGTCACCATTTGTTCTTGTCTCTTCAATGGTTCTAATACGAAGACTACAGGAGAATGTTAGCCTTAATCTTCTCATAGCACAGAAGAGAAGATGAGTAGGAAACAGCCACCAATCCTTTTATCAAAAGACAAGCTGATACAAAGTCCTGCTCAGGCAGGATCAAGTTGTTTGGGTGGAAGAGGGTTTTCTGAATAGCCAAGCTCTCCATGAATTTGTCGTCTTAAAGGCTTTTTTTACTTTGTGGGCTGTTAAATCCTGATATCTTTTTCTTTTTTTCAATAACTCTGTCATACTCTGCATGAGAAATATGAGGACTCTGGAACTTTAAACGAAGGCTGTATTATAGTTTTATCATTATGCCCTTCAGATGTCCCCAGTATATGTGCCTTGATGTAGCCTCATCAAGTCCAGTTTTCATCACCTTATCAAGCCAGTTTTCATTTTCCAGTCTTTTATTAAATTACTGAGTTCTAAAATGAGATACAACCATCTGATGGAGACTTAATGCCTAACAATTTTTGTTGCCTTAACTAACAAGCATTAAGAAACCATGAATGAGCTAGCCCCTGTTAAGAGGTGCTCATGGAGAGAGACCTACTTGTTGCAGAGATAGGCGAGAGGTGTAGAAACAGTCTGAGTTGCATTTTTTTAAGCCACTTCAATCACAGAGCAGTTTAGAGCCCCTGGAAATTCCCTTTTATTGACTTAGCTCCCAGCCCAAGATTGATTATGCTTTCCCAGGTTTTTAGACAGTTGTGTTTTGTTTTGTTTATTTATGGGATTGATTTATCACAGTTGAGTAGGACTCTAGGCGGTGTAGCATATTCAAATTAATAAGTGCTACTAAATTAATAAAACAATATAATGAAGTGTATAAAGTATAATATGTGCCTAGAGGTGTATAAAACTATGTGCCTGAGTAATGAGAGAGTTATGTTTTTGTCTCTTTTTCAAATGTGTCATCCTATTCTTTAGTAAAAGAACAAGACCGTGGCCATTAATTGGAAAGTTTTAAAAATGGATTAGATAAATTCATGGAAGATAAAAGGTTATTTGCCATTAATGGCTGTATATTGAATTCAGACTATGAATACTAGTTACTGGGGAACATGTTATGTTCATCTTTTGTTTGTGAACTTCCCAAGAGGCATCTGGTTGGAATACCCATCACTGGATCTGTTTTATTTTTGGTCTTTTGGTCTCCTGTTATAGTATACTATTAAGCGTGCCAATATGTGATTTCTCATGCACAGTTACAGACCTAGAAACAGCTGTTTTGCATGCTAGGGAGAATATGTAGCTTGGCTTTAGATTGGAAGAGATTCTGAAAAAGTGATTTAGAAACTAGCATGAACAAAAGATGGAATCTTCAGTCATTTCAAGTGATGCTTTGATACAAATAAGGTATTTTGAATTTACAGGTCATCCATTCCCAAGCAGAGGATTACCTGGAATGAATATCAGAAAAGGCAAAGGGCCTGGTTATTTTCATCTAGATAACAGAGAGTGTAGGAGAACACTGACAGCTTCATTATTTAAAAGCTACTGGAATAAAAATTGGACATTCATACCTACAGTACTGTTCTATCATGATTTTCTAAGAAAGAATTTCTGGAATCTTCATAGGATGCTACTCTATTGTATCATATACAATATCATACATATCATTGGATTTACTTAGATTCCTTAGATACATTTATTGTCAACAGTTATTTTTGGCTAAACATAAGATTGACTTGAGTTGAGTTTCGTACCAGAATAGCAGTTTCAAAAAATGTATTGTCATTTTCACTTTCAGGGTAAAAAGCTCCCATATAGTCTTGATGCAGATGCTGAAGAAGGAGAGGTTTCTGATGAAGACAGTGCTGATGAAATTGAAGATGACTGCAAGTTAAATTTTTCTTATGTAAGTGCATAGCGTACCTCTAGTATGTTTTCTGATGGTGGCATACATCTATATTTTCCCACACTGTCTAAATAGTGATATAATGGTCCTATTCCCCCTTAAGGTAAGACTAAATGCACTCCTGGGTTATAATTCTGTATATTAAGGGTGCAAAATGTTTTTCAAGTTGATACCAGACGTTAGTCTTTGGCAGGTATGCCATAAACCATCTTCCAAAAAGTAGGTGGGCCCAGGACCAAAGTGTAACTTAGTGAAGTGACCTTGAGGTTAGTGACTTCCTGGATAAGTCTGAGTAGTTTTCTTGGTAGAAGTAGCTTATCATTCCTTTTCTGGAATGCTTTTTCAATTTCCCAATCTCGACTACAGCTCTAGGATTCCACGTTGGTCTTTTATCCAAGTGGCTAGGTTTGACTCTGCTTAGTTCTTGTCAAGACTTTACACCAGCTACAGTGATTAAGTTCTCTTTCCATTCCACAAACCTCAAGCAGACTTATGAAGGTTAGTTAAGCAAATTTATTTCAGAAAAATAGAAAGCCATACATTCAAAAAATCCTCTGTCTAGCAACACCAAGAAATCTTGCCATTTTATAGGATAACTCCAAGATTACAATCCTAGATGTGTTCTTCCTGCCTTTTTGAATCAGCAGTTATATCGCTACATCTGCCCTGTGTCCTTTGTTTATAAAATAGTTTTCTCTGCTGTAAGAATCAGAGATGCCCACATCATCAGCTTCTGAACCCAGATAAGAATAGCCGAGTGTTGCCACCTTTTGAAACTTTAATTTAGTGCAATTTTAATATAATTAAATTCAAAATTACAGGAATTAAATGCCATTAGTGTTATTGCTTTCCATGTGTGTAATAATGAAAAATATGATTTATGAAAAATATGATTCAGCAGCAGCATCTTTTTGAAGGAGCTCCAGAGATGTGTGAAACTCTTATTTGAGAGCCAGAGAAATAATAATAATAATCCCAAAACATCTAGAGCACCACTTGAAGACCATTGGCATTGACAAAATCACCATCAGTCAATTGCAAAAGGGAGCTTTATTTGGAACAGCTTACATCCTGTGATGATACCTGCGACGATACCATCAAACAACAACATCTGCCTATGCCAGGTCCTTGGGAAGGACTCGATAAATGGACAAAAATGCCAAATCCAGTCTAAACATCTGGCTGACTGTGTGACCAACAATAATAATTCCATGAACTATCTATCATAAATATTATCAGAATGCTGAATAATAAATATAAGCATAAATTACACCACTGGGTAACTTATATTTTTCAGCAACCTGCATTGACTTCCCCATCAAAATTTAAATTGTAAACCTCTTGAAGGAGGGGCATACCTTTGATAGAGCTATGTAAAATGTGGGTATTTGATTATGATCTTGTATACAGAATTTTATATAGTACTGGAAGAAATGGGTATAAAGCAATATTCATTTATTCTTCCTTCCCTCTCTGGGGCCTCCAAAAATTTGCTCTGGCTGGTTGAGAGGCTAAGCAAGCTGAGCTCCTTTGTGAGATCCCACAAAGATCTCAGTTCTTCTCACAAAAGAGGGAGCAAACTGTTCATCAAGCTCAATAATAACAGAAGACCCATTTTTTTCATTTATTTGTTTTTTTTCTAATTTTCTATTAAGTTCTGTATTTGCTTCTGTGCTGGTAGTTGCCATGTGGCTTCCATGTCCACTTCTCCATCTATTTTCTTCTCTTCTTTTTTGCTGTTTTCATTGGTCAATGCAATGCAGCATGTCTGCTCCATTTTGAATAGATGCTCTAATTTTAGACCAAAGGAAGTTATGCTTGACTGGTTTGAAATATTTCTATATATTTCTGTAAGAGTATATGTTTGTCTGTGTGCACACACACATGTGCACGCGTGCATATTTGTGGAAGAAAATTTATTGTTGATTATCTCAGGAGTTGTCAAGGGCAGAGATGAGTCCAGTGAATGTAAGCCAATATGGGGATGGGTGCCTTTGGTTTTTAAGTGTTTTACATTTCTCATCAGGGTGGTTGTGTTGTTTGTGGTATATTATCAAAATGACTCCTGTGGTTTCCTGCGTCTTCATTTGCATCAGTTACTTGCACAAAAATATCTTGCAGGTAAGCTTGGGAATTGCTGTGATGCTTTAGATATTACAAGGTCCCCTTGGGTTTAGTTTTGAGAAAGCAGATGCTCATACAATTTTCTGTTGAAAAGTCTCTTATTGCAGTGTTCCTCCCACCTTCAGGCACTTCTTGTAGTAATCTGGCATTTATGCATAAAAGAGCCAAACTCCTCAAGATGAATAAGGACATCAATATTTACAAGAATAAAGGAACCTTGATTCATTTGTATTTTGGAAATTTAAGAACTTTCTTTTTCAAATGATTAACAAAACTACTATTCTAGATTTTCTCTGGGAACTCAAGATGGCATATATGAGGGTCTTCCCACACGTTGCAAAACTGATTAATACTTTGCAAATGTCATACGGAAAGGGATCAATTGGCTGTTGATACTCAACGCTCAAATTAAAAATATATATTCACAGATCCAAGAGATTAAATTCTCCCTCAGAGCTCCACCTGCATGAAGACATTTTACTTTCTGTGGTGAAATGTCCTTGGGTCAGTGAACTCTAGATTAGATTAAGATGGAAGCAGGTATGGACATATAAACTCATACTTAATTTATCTGCATTTGCATTTGCATCTGAATCCTATCCCAATTTCATAGTCCAGTGTGAAAATGACTCTGTTTCTTGGACAGGGGACTGAAAAGATTTCTAATTTATACTCCCAGATAAAATGCTACTGAATACTATACAAGTGTAAACACATTGCTATATGCATTTATTTCTTATGTCTTTACTGTAACTTTTTAGTTGAGCAATGTATTTTCCATAAGTGGTTCTCAGATGTCCTGTGCAGGTAAAGAGAGGCTTTAGTGGAGACAGGAGCACTGCTTCTGGGAAAGCCCAATGGGAAGTGTCCTCTCATGAAGGCCCTTGATAGGGATGGTGCAGACCACTGGAGAGGCATTTGTACAGAGAAAGGCAAAACAATTCATATTCACCCGTTGGCTACCTTATAACTAAAGAAGTGCAAAAATACCACATTCCACCCTAAGAATTTCTCCAAAATTCTCTTTTCTTTGAAAGAATTTCAAATTCTCTTTCATCAGATTGAATGATAATTG